CTCTCCCCTCTTGCTGGTGCGCAAAAGAGTCAACTTTCCAGTTCCGTCGGAGAGCGTGGCCCAAGTCGCGGAGGTCAGGCTCAGAGAAGCACACAACTGCTCCCCCTCACAAGAGCTTGGGTCCGATTCAAAACGGAACATCTCACAAGGTTTGCCCAAGGCTGTGTCCTGGAAAAACATCAGATGGAGACCTGTCAATCATTCAGTCTCTGAAAAACAACCCTCGACCATCTCTACACCATCACAAAACAGAAGACTTATAAAGGGGACATTTTCTTGTAGACATGATAAAATTTTGCATGTATTTTGGAGGCTCATAGTGGTGCAAAGCGCAAAAGGAAATACATGCAGTTATAATAGGGAACATTCACGGATCGATCCATAAAGGGTATGAATAACAACTTTCTGAATACCAGTTCAGATGAAGTTCAGATAATTAAACTAGCAAGTCAATGAATGAAGCAACAAATCCAAAGTTAAAATCAACTCGAATCCTGTGAAATAACTTCTTTTGTGTACCTATATCTCACGACTACTATGTTCTTTTCAAGGGCTTCGAGTCAACGTCTTGCTAAAGATCTTTAAAACAACATCTGTGAAACAAATAAGATCAGCCAATGAGACAATTTAGAAATAAAACTAAGTAAGTGCCACATATCCAAGTCTGCGTGATCCTGAACTTCAAAGCCAGCAATTTGAAAAGGATTACAATGAATGTAATAATCACCAATTACACCCTTCATAAGGTAGCAATTTTTCCAAAGGACTGGACAGCAATTGGCCTTCGGTTGCCATGGAGCTTGATGCACACATTAACAGAGATCAGTCTCAGTTTTCACTTCTTTCCCAGAAATAAAATGCCCCCTGTCTAGTACCTTTGAGAGAATACAAACAGTCCCCAAGGAGAGATAATTACAGTATGTTAACTGTAATTATAACGCAACTTTTCACATTTCATAACGAGTAATTTCTTAACCCAGCATGTCAGTTCCGAGAATGACAAAAAATTACAATCAAATCATCAGCATAAAATTTAAACTAGCTCAGAACAAAACATCCTGTAGAGAAACTACATTTCATCTTATTATGCATCTGTTTGATTCCTTTCAGAATATACGGTAATGCATCTTAAATCATCCTCCTCAAAAAGAATTCATATAAAACAACTTGATAGAAATTAAGAATTTTGATAATAAAAATTATCATTTTGCTTTGCACAGACTAAAGCTGATATTAAAATACTATGAATGTCTAAATAAATTAAAATGTAAACACTAAAACAATTATATATATATATATATATATATATTAGGAATCACATTAGTCATTAGATTATTTTTAGGTAAAGGCAATCTAAAATATTATTCTTATTAAATTTTATTCTAATTATTTTAAATTTGTATAATTTTTCTCAAGATGTCTTTCACTATTGAAGATAAAAATGGTTGCTTGCTTCACTATTCAAATTTGGCCTGTTATGCAAAAGAAAGTGTACGCACATGTACAACAGTACATTACCACCCAATGCCAAAAATAAAATAAATCATTATTATTAGCAAATAACTAATATGGAAATACTGTGCATTAAGGCTGTACAGTGTGAGCAATTTGTAAATTGCTTTCTATTATCATATCATGACGTGGTTTTAATAAAACAAATAACTAAAATAATAATCAAGATAATAAGCAAATAAATATTTTATTTAAAACATTTTTATTTTATATAAGACAACTTCTACCCTGATACTATAAACCATTAATGCCCTCTGCTGGTAGAGAAAAACTAGAAATACTCTAAAACTGTATATCCTGGTCCAAAACTTTCATGCAGGACAGTGGTTCTCAACCTTTTTGACTCGTAGGATCCTCCCATTGCCAAACAAAACATTCAACATCCCCCCATAATGGCTAAAATATGTCCTTTTGTACTTCTGCTATAATTATGACAGTGTTGCTTGATTTTAAACTATTTCAAATAACAGGAACTGGGAGTGTTGATATATTAAACGAACGAAACGTGATTCATTTTTTTTTTATCTTTAGGATTCAAAATGCTGATGTTTTTCATTAAAAATAATAGTTGTTAAGGAGAAAAAATAAATATAATTTCAGTTTACATTTTGACAATTAATATACAATTATATAATATAATTTAAATCATCCAGTGCCCCTTTGAGGCACCCAAGCCCCCTGTTTTTTTCTCTGATCTTTTTATTAAATTTAGTAAGAAGAATGCATATGCATTCATGACCCAGACATATGGAAGAAAAATAGAAAAAATATGCTCTAGGGTGGAAATATTAGTTCATCCAAATATGTGGCCCTTATAATAACCCATAATTTCAGAAATTACATTAATAGACTCACCAATGTGACTGTTAGATTGAGAACTCGGTCCTTGCTGTCCACAAAGTAGACACTGTCTTCATACCAGGGGTCGATGTGGAGGTAGTTGTACATACCAAATGCTCTCACATGATCCAGGGTGTACTGACTGTCTTTCAGTTTAACCTCAGCCACAGCTGAAAGAAGACACACATTACTGGAGGGGCAAATAACAGCAGACTTGGAGAAGGCATCACAAACCACGGATTAGATTATGTCCTGTGCCCAAAAGACAGCTTTGGGCTAACTTTAAGATTATAATTAAGATGCACACATCTGGTTTATGAAGAGCAACCAACGCACATGTTGCAGAGCTGCATCTTTAGGACTGTAGGACTGTTATATTGACAATGAAGTTCACAGTGTAGGTCATAACAGTTGTTTGGTTTTGAACAAGATTATTTATGAGTTTGTCACGCTGAGGATTAAATAAACGCGTATATAATTAATAAAATCAGACAATACCTGGTCAAAAAAAGCTCTTTTCTCACCTGCGTCAAGTTCTACATTGTAAGTAGGAATAGAGTCCAGTGAAAGCCTGTAACTTTCAAAACCGGGATCCAGCATCTCTCTGTTTACCTTCAACGAGCAATTCGGTAAAGCCATATTTAATTAAAATTATATTCCAAAGAAACAGTATATTCAGTTCAAGGAATCTAATAAAAACCGATATTTAACGTTTATAGTAACAGGAAATAAGCTTTAACTAATGCACGCGTTTCCTACGTGTCGACCCGGACTAGTTTTCAGCCGGACCGACCGCACGTGATTCTGGGAAATCGAGTCTCTGCGGGTTCCGGTTTTTTTACGTAAAAATAATAAATTATAATTCATTGTTAATGAACTGTATTTGTACACATTTTATCTTTCATTTGTATACGTCTAAAAAAAAAGATGTAACCGCGAACATTTGCGATTTTTTTTTAAATGTTAGCCTAGTCAATCGGTACAAAATATAATAGGCTATAATTTATCCAGAGGTGTTTAGTAGCCTACCCGAAAACTATACTTGAGTAAAAGTACAGATACCTTACAGTGAAAATTACTCCACTACAAGTTACATGTCATCAATTTCAAAACAACTTGAGTAAAAGTCTTAGAGTAGGTCTGATTTTAACAGTAGTAGGCCTACTACTTAAGTAGCCTGTTTTACTGAATATAGGTTCAAAGATGCACTAGTCAAAGAGACATGCCAGTGAAAAACAAGAAAGTGTTGATTTGTTAGGAGAGAAATCACGTTTATTTTCTATTACCAAAATAGAACTGAACACCTCAAAACAACAACAACAACAAAATCCTTCAAAAAGGTATCTTCAGTATAACAGATAATTAAAATAATGTTGTCATTTTTTTTTTAAAATTGATTAATTAATTAATTTATTTATGTTTGCTTCATTTGTTTATTGAACTTTTACAATAATAACGCGACAAAATACAAGAGAATATTGGAAAAAAATAATGTTAAGTAAAATTGAAAAGTCAATTCTTGCTCTTGATGACCTGGTTTCGGCCTCATTGCCATTGCTAGAGAACGCACATTCACATAAAGTAGCCTTGTTGACAAGTTTGGGTGAGTAAAGACAAAATGCACAAGATATAGTACTTTCAGTGCCCTGTAGTTGGTTATATTTTGTAGCAGAAATAAACTGCTGCAGAAAAAGCTAGGTGCCAAGTGTAATGTGTAATTGCAACACTCATTACAAATGTAGTGGAGTACAGATACTTATTCAAAAATGTTCATGCTGGATAAGAGTGAAGCTGACAGTGCATAATTTTCAACCAATGCTGGTATTTGGTGGCTGTCATTCTCTGTTAACTAAAGTACATGACAGGAATTGTAGGCTAACTCATGACACTTTGAAAGCGTCAGAAAATAATGTATTGATCTCATTTACATTTTATTCTAATTATTTAATTTGTGTAATTTTCATACAAAGTTCTTTATTTTGTATTAGAGCATAAAAACTGTTGCATGCTTCACTATTCAAATTTGGCCTACTATGCAAAAGAAAGTGTACAGGTAGCCTATACATTATTGTACAACAAAGATGAATGCATCACTCTTGGATACAAGCTTGTAGAATGACAGCAACGCATGATCACCTGGCACACAAAAGGTGAAAGAAAAAAAATTGAGTCTCCTCTTGCCACCCTGTGGGCAGGTATAGTATAAAAAGAGTGAGCGGTTCTTAACAAATGAGCCACTGGTGTTTGGGTTTCAGAAGAGAGCTTTAACAGGTATGCAAGTCTGAATATGGTCAATGTGAACTTTGAAGACTTTTTTTCAAAATTTCTATAATTTTCTCATTTAACAATCTCTGATAATCTGTTAATAGCATTTATTTATATATTCAGGGTATACCAATTAATGTAGCTATATTCATTAGACAGGCGTAGTCTAGCCTGAATAGCAATACTGGTCTGTTCAACATTGTAAAACGTTTGTTTTAAGGTAAATGTATAGCTTAATTGTTGACATTTTTCAAATAAAACATGTTTTTTTAAGGACGTACAAATGACAAGTGTGACCACATATGGCATGTGTATATTATTTTTTCAGAAGGCAAACAGTAACTTCAGGAGTCTTTGCTTTGAAGCGCGTGCAGTCCATCAGAATGAGGCGCGTGCGGCTGCAGCTTCACCTGTCGCTCACTGTTTGCATTTTACTGTGGAGTTCCGCAGGTACGGGCTTTATGTACCTCTTGTGTTCTTTCAGTCATTTGAACGGTTTTGCGTATTTTCATATCATTGTTGTCATCAGGGGCGCCTGCAGGACTTCAGCGGAGGGTACGCAAAGAGACGGGTTTTTTTAACAAAGGTGTCTCTAGACACGTAAAAAATCTTTTAACCCTGAAAACGGCAAAAAGCAACGGAATGGTCAAAGACATCCATCGTATGTTCACAGGAAAACAACTGAAAAACAGCGCGGGTGGACACAAAAAACCGATTAGGTCTCAGCTGAATTTTTTTTAAAGTTAACTTTTAAAATGTAGCCTAGTCTTTTGTTTCAGTTGTTTGTAGTTGATTGTTCACTCCATCCAGCACAGCTTGGTCTCTGCGTTCTTGTTTGTTTGACTGAGAAACCGCTTCAGATGATTCAACAGGCGAAGAACTGTTAGTGTAATGTAATCTATTAACTACGCACATAATAAGCCACTCTTTTTAAGACAATTAAGTAGCCTACCAGATATGAGTGTCATGTCATAAAATATTTTAATACGACTGAATTTATATTTAACGTGATCACAATTGAATAAAAACACTGTAAGTTATTAATTATTTAATTATTTTTGCGAATAAATTATATAGGAAAGCGAGCAAGAATTTTCATTATCACATTATCACTGCAGTCTAGCATGAGTTTGAGCACTCTCAAACAACTCAAATTATAATCACTGAAGCTCCTTACACCGTGAAATCAATCTCTTACGTGCATCATACGTGCGTCTGCACTTTGTTGTTTATGATGAGAACATTCAGGAGAAAGCAGAATTCAGTCAACGAGCGCTCGCACTGAGCAAAATTCCAGCGCTTCAGCGATGACTCATCTGGACGCTTCTGATTGGTCAATGCATTCATAACCTCAACAGAATCGTGTGTGATTGGTTATAATGCGCAACGCTGTAAAAAGAGCGTAAAAAGAAATATGATGCTAGGCTATATGATCAGATCTAAATGTAATGCCGAAATCAACAATTTTCATGTCACGTTATTCGCGACAGCCGTAATAGATTTAGTTAATTGTGCAGAGGAGGTATTTTTGCCTCAAGCCTCCGTTAATTTCAGACCTGTGGCCAGGAGAAGGCTTCAGTGAGAGAGTGGTCCAAACGCGTTTGGCCTGTTCACACGAATGTTTGGCATCGCTGGTTCATTTGACAGAAATATGGGACATAGCTAATTAGGTAATAACTGCTGAAATATTCGCAGGGATCATTTTTCTCAGTCAGAGCGCTCATGTACGCACAGTACAGCCGTACACCTGCAGGCGCCGCTGGTTGTCATCCTAAAAGCATGATACAATAGATTTTAGTGACTGTCCTATCTCCGTCCTGACAGGAGCGCTGCGTGTCAACAAAGTGACCCCAAATTACGGAAGCCTCAATGGCGGAACGAGACTGACCATAGAGGGTCAAGGTATTAAAAAAGTCAACAATATGCTCTTAAATTAATCCCAACATTCTGTTCTGATTGAGCACATTTTGGCTTTATTCTTTAAAGTCTCGTGATTTTTTTTCTCAGGTTTTGCTCAAGCCAGTCAGTTTAATCTAAATGCCAATGACCCAAAATTTGGCAACACTGTGACCCTGGTGTCCCGCACCAGATCTGTTCCCTGTGACGTCGAGAGAGACTCCACTCACTCCACTCAGATCACCTGTTATACAAGGTAAGCAATGAATCACATGACCTTATTCTAGTCTTCTTTTATGTTGTAGTCATTGCACTGTATTCAGTCAGTGCTCCTTCTAATAAGATTTTTAACATACTCATATGTGAATACCATATAGGGGAGATCAGGGCATTCATGTATGAATGTAAATTTTGACTAATTTATAAAACTGAGGAGAAGTGAAATAATTAGATGAACTTCCCTCAATCAACCTCAGGATCAGGAAATGTTTAGACTTTATGACCTTTGGGAGAAGTTCAGTCTTTTTCATGTAGTTCCAACCCTAAAAGACTTGTTTTCTTCTGTGGAACACAAAAGCAGACATTTTGAAGAATATCCAATCAATAAAATGGCCACAAGAGCAGTCCATTTGGTTTGTGTGCTAAAGTTTTCTGAACTCATACAAGATATGTATGAGAAACAGTCCAAAATTAAAATCTTTTATTCACTGAAAATCATCCCCGTCCCGCAGCTCTCAAATCTTATTTGTGCAATTTGAAAATGTGAACATTATCATTTCTGCATGAACTTTTATTCAGTGCTGTTCTAAGTTATCATATTTTTTATGTATAACATAAAAAAATTCTGTTGCATTTTTAAATGGAACATTAAAACATTTTAAGTGGAACATGTTTATTATTGCAGTTTAAAGGGATAGTTCACCCCAAAATTTAAATCCTGTCATCATTTACTCACCTTCATGTCTTCTCAAATCTGTATGACTTTCTTTCTTCTGTGAAACATAAAAGAAGATAATCTGAGCAATATCTCAGTATTTGTTTGTTCATAAACTATCCCTTTAAGACTTTGCTCTGTCATCTTTGTGATATGCAAAATGTAGTTCTTTGAAATAGCTGTACTGCGTACATAATGTTATGTAAAATGTTGATAGCGTGTGATTCTCAAAGAAAACTTCATACTGCCTCATGTTTAGAGCTCTGCCAGAGGATGACTATGAGGTGCGGGTCAGCGTGGACGGCATGCCAATTCCTTTAAGTCGCATTTGTAATGGATACCAGTGGTATTACTGGTGCATGTTCTATGTAAGATGGACTTCATTGTGCTGCTTACTAAAACATATAAACATATAAAACATCCTATCTTCTCTGTAAAATGTTACAATATATTTACAAAAACTGCTTTTACAGCCCCGTATATTCCGTACACCCAGCATTCAAAGTATCCGTCCGCTCTCAGGCCCCCCTGGTGAGTTTGTTTCGTTTTTATAATTACTCTTTGCCGCTTTGGGTTATAAAAATGACACCTTTCATTATATAAAAAAATGAATGAACTTTAGGGACTGTGGTGACACTGCGGGGAAGAATCTATACTGACGTGTATGGAAGCAGCACGGACAAAAGTTCCAGTGGCATGGATGTGAGATTTTTAAGGTATGGAACTATTTAATACACAATTGAAAATATAACTGAAATGTTATAAATATATTCTGTGTCTTGAGATACGGAGTGCTTGTTTTAATGTGTTTTCTTTGAACAGAGCGTACATGGGAGGGATGCCTTGTGAACTTCTGAAACCCAATTCAGATGAAAAGTAAGTATTTTTCAATTTCAAACAGAAGAAAATGTTAATTAAATTTGCATGCACCTTCCACACACAATTTTTTTTTTCAGGTATGGCCTCTATTTGGATTCTGATAACAGCCAATGGGGATATATGAGATGTAAAATGACTGGAACATATGTTGGTGAGGACACGTCAAGATGTTCAAGAATGATTCATTCATTTTAGATTTTTGTTGGATTAAATGTCGTTGCCTTGGTTTTCAGGGCATCACAACCTCAGTTACATTCTCAACAGTGATTTTGGGAGGTCAGAAGAAGTTTGATTTTACTTTACACAAAATTGTTCATAAAAGTATGCTGTTGACAGAAAAGCACACAAAATACATATTTTCTTTTTTCAGGAGCTTGCCAGACTTCGGGGTTTTCAGCATATCAGCACTAAACAAACTTGCCATGTTCCAAACATATGCAGGTGTGAACAATTATTCTCCTTAAATAATACAACATGTGATTGCATACAAAATCAGATATTTTTGAAAAACTCAAACTGTGTTGGTCTTTTTCAGAGGTGACAGGAGTTTCTCCCTCTGAGGGCAGTGTATTTATATATATATATATATATATATATATAATGAATAATTATAAATATTGAATACATATATAAATTAAATATATACATATAAAATATATTTGTACATGTAAAATTTATTTTTATTATTATTTATTTATTATTTAAAATTAATCTTTTAATGTTTTTTTTTCCCTTAGGTCGTGAGTGTCAGGTTCAGAGCATATCAAATGAGAGGATTATCTGCATAACTCCTAGTTATGAAAGAACCAATATGACAGTGTTTCCTGGTGAGAACCTTATCTGATATCAGATCTCTTATGGTGACATTATATTTCTGTAACAATTTTTCCATAGTCATTGTTTGTAATTCTGCATTTCACACGCGGGAACATCGAACTCTGTCACTGCTGCAGTGTCACGTTATCTCAACCAAGACCATGATTCATAGCTGACTTCTCAGCATAACACTGCATATCAGAGCCCATCACTTATTTGACACCAAGATGACTGGAGTTTTAACAATTCCCTTGTATTGCTTTCTTTGATCGTGCCATAAATCCATCTAAACTAAACAAATTGGCGTGATTACATCTATAAATAAATAAATGTTATATAACTATTATATAAAATGTATTTTATTTATTTCTATAAATTTAATCTAGAACAGCATCTTTTTCTTGGCCAATAATGGTGGACATGTTCAATAGCTTTCTGTAGCCAAGACTTTAAGACACTTTACAGAAATCGAAAAATGAACCTTCCCTGAAAAACATTTACTAAAGTAAAGGGTTTGACAACAAGACCTGGTCTCTTTCATATACTATTTATGAAATTACACATTTAAAATGAGTCTGATAAAAGTATTGGCCTTGAATGGACAATGGTTAAATTGTGTTTGTAGGTGGCAGAGGATTTAAAATGGAGATGTGGAACAACTCCAGTCCGAACCTTCTAGAGGATGTCCTGAGTTATAATTCCAGTAGGTCTGGATATTCCGTCCAGTGGGTGGATTCGCTGTCCTATGTTTGGCCCGCTGAAATTGATAACTTTGTGATACGACTGAGTGGGTTCTTTGTTCCGATGGAGACCGACAACTACCATTTCCGAATCAAAGCCGTCGATCGGTGCCAGTTATATTTCAGCAAGACAGGTCTTCCCAAGGATAAGGTACCTGAATGACAGTAAAATCAATAAAACCATTTAATAATTTCAGTAGTTATCATTGCAAGCAATTAAGTAGAGGTTAGTAACTTGCAAGCATATAATATATGCACTATTTGTATAAAATGCAATGTAATATTTTCCTTTTATTAAACTTAATCACACATTTTTTTATATTCAGGTCAAGATTGCACATCACTCTTCCTATACAAGCAGTTTCTTCAGCTATAACACCCAAAGGTCGGAGGTCATGCGCTTGGAGAAGGGAAAACCGTAAGTGAAGTTTTTCAAATAATACATAATGAGCAAAAAGCCATAAATGTATGCTCTCTATTAGTCTTTTTTCTAAAGTATATCACAGTCTTGGATCTAAAATAATTTTCTACACATGAAACATCTTTCAATGTGCTACAGGTACTACATTGAGATTTTAGTGCAAGAGTATGCAGGAGCAGCATCAGTGGATGTGGCCTTTTTCAAAGAGATCAGCCCTTTCACGGCCCAGCAGACAACAGAATCTGTTAATGAGAAACAGCAGATTAATGCATACTATGATATACTACCTGAAGAACAGGGAAGTGAGCTCACAGGAGCACTTCAGGAAAAGATTTTCTGGATAAGATAGAGGGAAGCCTTTTAAAATAATTTTCTGCATTGCTACTGCAGAAACTCAGCAGGTCTCAGATATGAGCTTCTCTACCTGTACTGTATGTGTGTGTGTGTGTGTGTGTGTGTGTTTTTAATTCTTCATTATTTTAGGTGGTTCGTTTCGAGGGATGGACACCAATAACCCCCGTTAATGAGGTGCAGACTTTGAGAATCAGCAGCAACTGCTTCTCTCTGAGCAACTGCGAATACACATACTACTTCCTAGCATATGGAGGTCTTACAACAGGTGCATTACTTCACATAGCTCTATGAATGTGTGTTTGATGAGGTCCAATTTTTACTTGCTCCTAATTTTTGCATTCACTGTTCTGCACTACCTCTAGAAGATGTTTGCATGTTTGTAACGTGTACTGGAATTGCTTTGCGTGTTGTAGGGCCGATCCCAGTTAGTGCTTCAGCGATGGAGTTGCAGAACGCTCTGAATGATTTGTGGACGATTAAACCAGACAGTGTTACAGTCACAAAGCAAGAACTGGACACTGAGGCACTGTACAACGTGACATTCAACTCTAACAGAGGTGAACTTAAAAAATGACCACTATTCTTTGACTGATTACTCTGGCGTCTGACTTTGAAATATGTGCTTTAACAACCGCTTACAGATCTACACTAAATGTCAGTAAAAATATAAACTGTAAAAAATGTTTGTAATACTAGTGAAAAAAAGGATCAATTTATCATATATACTTTATAACGTACATGGTAAACTACAAATTATTATATAATTATTGTGAAATATATGGCATGGTGGTACTATATTTTCAATGTGCACTTTTTTTAGTAAAACAATATTCAAATAATGTTTTTGTTAGTAAAAAAAATACGAGTTACTTTATAATTCACAGTAAAAAAAAGTTGAAAGCATGTTCTCAGAAGTGACTGCATAACACACCATAATCCGATTGCATATTTTTATATATATATTTTTATATGTTAGGGTGTTTTATTTGAGCTTTTATGTTGTTTGTGAAGTTTGCCGGTACATTTAACAGTATTTTGCTATGTTTTCTTAAATCTTGCAATTATCTCAGGTAACTTTGAGGATCTTGAATACTTTATCATGGACTCAGATATGAACATTACAGTTAGTGAGGATGTGAAAGGGCAGGCCAGCTTGGAGAAATTCACACTGCTGTGGGGTGGAGTTCCATCCCTCCCTCTGCCTTTCAATGCTTCTGAAACTGAGGTTTTTCTTTAGTTTATATTTTTTTAAATTTAACATAGAATAAAATGTTAGCTTTTACAGTATTGTGTACAAAACATTTCGAATGTTCTTTTGAAATATTCCTTTACTGCATGATGGGTTGCATCTGTTTTTTTTATTAAAGGTGCGTTCGGCACTAGATGTGATGGTCACCGCTAAATGTCCAGCAGAGATTCCAACCATGGAGAACACTAATGTGAAATTGTTCCGAGATTATGAGACCTCCACCACAGGGGTAAGCAAAGCTGCAAAAGCACAGGATCATGTATGTTCTATATGTATGTAACAACCTATTTCAAGTCAAGTTAGCCTTGCAAATGTTAAGTGACATAAAGTTCTAACATTGTTGGCAAGTTGAAAACATCACCTTTCTGTCCAGTTTGTAGAGATTTCTCCTTGTTGAAACAGTTTTCAGGTTATCTAAGCCGTAGAGGGGTCCGGGTCACTGATTCAGAGGCTTTCTGTGGCCGCTGGTCGCTGAAGAACCCAGAGATTCTGTTCAATGCCAATGACATTACAGCGTCAGGAACAATCTACAGCCCAATAGCACTTCAAACGTACAACACTGTAAGCACCATCCAACACCTCAGAATCTCATCCTCATTAATGGATTTTTCCTTATGTGTTTTTCAAGAAGTACATTTCATACGGTACATTTCTTATGTACACATCCCATTTTGTATATTTATTTTATTGTAGCTCTGCTTAGCCTACAAAGGGCGTCTGGTGAATGAATTGGGAATTTTGTTCAGCTACCAGGGGAATACTTACCGGGAGGAGAACATACGTATCTCTGTGCCGTTTGATTCAACGGATGAGTAAATTTAATCTACTGAATAAACATAAAGTTACCTGATGTCTTTCCTTTAGAGGATTTGTCTTGATCACCTATGCAAGAGCAAAATTAAACCAATATCAAGGTCATTATGTTGTGGGTATAAAGTAACACTGTCATTCTCAGGTGGAACTACAAGTGTGTGGATCTCCTGGGCTCCATACAGACAAACTACATAGGCTCCAACTACAATCTTCTTCAGTTCAGTGTGTATGGAGTGGCCGCTAACTCCGTTTACTTCATAGACGCTGTTCACCTTGGACGTGAAGTGACTGCTTTGGATTCTAATGGTGAATAGGAATAAGTTATGATTTTAATTGATGAATTATGGAATAAAAAAAAGAAACAGTGGCATGGATGTAAAAACACTGGATAATTTATATGCTAATTATATTATATATGTATCTGCAAAGCTGTTTTTTTTTTCAATTAATTTTATTATTAAAAACTTTTTTATTATTATTTGAAAAAATATTTTATTTTATTTTATTTTGAAGTGGTCCTTTTAAATTTAAATTAATTTCTATTTTCTCTCTCCACATGTTCAGTTATAATCCATAGAAGAAGGCCACCTGCTCTAGCCAGTTCAGGACATTTCTTTTCAAACATCTTTGTTAGAAAACAAGCAAATGCTTCACAAGTCAGCTATGAGATCACAGCCACACCTTACAACTGTGGCTTTGGTGTCCCACTGTTTGAAATAGGCTTTCTGGAGGTGAGTTAGTTCACATGAAGTTCAAATGAAACTCATTCTACAATGACTGTCTTGAAGTGGTGGAACTTCCTGATCTCTCTGATATTATGAGTGATGGGTGACAACAAAATAGGTTTTTGTGATATCTTTGACATTTGAGTTTATCGCAATGTCTCTGAATTGTTTCCTGCAGATAATTGTTGAATAGTGGAGTGATCCATGTAAGCTTTCTCAATCTTCATTTTTGTCCAACAGAAGATGCCAGACAGCACAGGGGACCGACTGATTCAAAGCCAAGGGAACGCTACCGTCACCATTACGCGCCCTCAAAAAGTCAGCCCACCTCTTACAGGAACATTTGACGTTGAGTTCTTTGGCCGACGTGTTGAAGGTAAGCATGTTGTCTGTGGTTTACCTGTTACTTTCCTATGTAGCTGCGGGAAGTAACTAAATAAGTTAGTACATGGAATTTCCTGTAATTGCACAACAGATTCTTGCTGTTGGATACTGTAGATCATGTTTCGATCTTGGAATTAATTTATTGAAATTGTGAATGGCACCTTCCTTTCTACATATACCACAACCTTCCAAGAGGTTTAACTGGTTTTTCATTTGGTATGTGCGGTGTGTGTTTCTTAGGCTTGGCAGTAGACATCAGCGCTGCGGACCTGCAATACTCACTGCAGGGGATCCCAGAGCTTGGCCAGCTGCAGGTGCAGAGATCTGGAGACTGTAGGGGCTACAGCTGGTACATCCAGTGGCTCACCATCCCTGGAAATCAGCCTCTGTTAAAGGCAAGAAAGAGTTCAGAGTGCTGGTACAATAAACCAAGGTTCCCCAAACAGGGGACTGCAAGTTTGTAGGGGAGCTGCTCATTAGAAATGCTAATGTGAATTTAAATAAAATTGTTTAGTTTAAAAAAATTAAATGTGCATAATTTAAAAAATCTAATGCGTAAAATTAAAACTTTGAAATATACTTCAAATATATAAAGTCAGCATGAAAAGGTGTTTGCAACCCATCTTTCTTCTGCATTGTAAAGTATTTCAGAGTGAAAAAGCAGAGCCAGACTTGACTTTATCCAGTGGGAGCAAAACAATGTAGCAGCACAACTGTTTTCAACATTGATAATTATAATAATAAATGCTTATCGAGCACCAAATCAGCATATTAGAACAATTTCTGATGTGACACTCAAGACCGGAGTAATGGATGCTGAAAATCCTGCTCTGCATTTTTTTTTAAATATATCAAAATAGAAAACAGATATTTTAAATTGTAATAATATTTAGCAATATTACTGTTTTACTGTATTTTTTATCAAATAAATGCAGCACTGGTGAGCATAAGAGACTTTTTTTCAAAAACATTAACAAATCTTTAACCCACATTTTTGAACAGTAGTGTATATCTTAACTTTCTCAGACTGTTCATTTCATACCTGGCTGTATTAACATGTTTTAATAATGTTAACCAGATCAATGCTTCCAATGTGGTTGGTGTGAACCCTTCAGTGACATCACGCAAGATTGAGCAAGGAAGCCTCTTCAAACAGAGAATTATGGGAGACTTTCTGCGTGTGCCTACAAATAAACCACAGGTGCATTTTTTACTCATTGCTTTTACTGCAGTAATTGTGTTTGACCAACATTGGTCATATAAATGAAGCTTGTTTTTAAAGGCTTTTCCTCATGTTACCTGATGCTGTGTAGCGTGCAGATTTCAATAGTGCTCCATAGAGGGTCAGCTGAAGGGCCTGTCCGGTTGTGTTGCTCTGTTTGAATATCCACTGTTCAGGGGATTTTGCAGGTCGAGGGGATTATGGCTAAACCAAAGAATGAAAGGTTCAGTTGTATTATTACAGACAGACAGGTGTGCATCCTGTAGTATGAATGTGAATGATCCTAGTAATATTATTCCAGTAGTTCAAAATAATTAACTTAAAATGTACAATCCATTACAGATACAAGTTCACTTGAAAAGGGTAAACATTAAAAATAATACAAATCACTCTTAATGTTATATTAATGTACAATTTTGCATTGTTTTGCTCAATGTAAATGTACACTTAATGTCCATTTTATGTCTTGTGCAAAATCTGGATCCTGCTTTAGGATGTCTAATATCTGAAATGCACATTCCTGTGCTTGCTATCTTTAAGGTGGAAGTTTTCATCAATGGTATCCCATCATGGTGTTCAGGGGATTGTGGTTTCACCTGGAGTCCGTCAAAGACCCCAACAGTGACTGGGATCTCTCCTACGCAAGGTGGAGTGAATGATCAAGTCTCACATAAAAGCTGTCATCTCCATTCATAGTGGTGTTTAGTGGTTTATAGTAATGAAATAACTTGTCGTTCAGGATCCAGCGGTCTGGGAACAGTTCTTACCATAACTGTATCTGGTTTTGATGGTGGAAATGTCACTGTAAAGACTGGAGATGTGGAATGCTCTGTTCTACAGGTTACCAGTAAGTCAAAACCCATTAGAGTCATAAAATCTGTTTTTCTAAGGTGACATACTGCATTCAGATGGCATATCGCTTTTGATAAAACAATGTAAAAAACATAGCATCATTTGTCATTTTTAAGAAATATGAAAATTGTGCTATAATTTACTCACCCTCATGTTGATCCAAAGCTGTATGACTGACTTTCTTCTGTGGAACACACAATTAGACATTAAGTATTGTACTAGTCAAGCTTTTCCATGCAGTTACTATGATACATATGATACAAAGGCTTTCAAGCTTTAAAAAGAATGCAAAGCACCATAAAAGTATCATACGAGAGGTTCACAAGTGGCACTGTATTCCTTTGTATGAGAAAACAGAAAGACATTTAAATCATTATTCACTCCTTTTCTGTTTCACAAAAGAAATAATACAATTTTACAGTGGTGATGTGATGACATAATTTCAGTTTTAGTGAACTTTTCCTTTATGCACTATTTAAGCAAATATTTGATCAAATAATTTATTTGTGTTTCAGATTCTTCTATAACCTGCCAGGTCGGTCCCGTAAGTGCAGGTGTACAGCCAGTCTCTCTGAGTTTCTCTGTGCTGGGAAATGCCCAATACCAGAATGACAACAGCTTTAACTTCACCCATCTGTTAGGAGTGACCTCCATAAACCCCACAACAGGAAGTGTGGCAGGTACAAGTAGCGTTACACTTCTTTACACACAGTAGTGTGTAAAATAAACACATAAATACACATACAGAAGTATTTGTCACTTGCATATGTCTTTCATACGTACCATACATTAGGGTACAAAAGTCTGGTACCACTAGTAAAAATGCTTCCGTTTCTTATTTTTAAAATGAAATGATTTTTTTTCATAAAAAAATTATATTAGATTATATTAGAAGAACAAAGCTGAACTTGCACATTACATTCAAGACAGGTTTTGCTTTGTCCAAAACCTGCTAACCAATGTTATTCCAACATATCCTACAACTATTACTTGATCTTTTTCTGTATGTCTTCACAGGAGGGACGATTCTGACCGTGTCTGGCTATGGATTCAGTAATGATACCACAGTCACCATTGGCACTCAGCCATGTAACGTTATAGAAGTGGAACTTTCCCAGCTGAGATGTATAGTTCCAGCTGTAAGTGAAAAGCTGGATTTCCCATGAAGATATCCAAAAAAATAGTCAAAATTAAAATCCTAAATTTGTCAAGGTTAATTGATACCTTTTTAAATTAAGTCTGTAATTGAATATAACAGTTATTATGAACATTTTAAATATAACATTTTATTAGTATTATTAACAGAACTCCTCAGGGCGAATTTACTAAACAGTTACAGCACTTTTAATGTAAATTAATTTTAAAATTCCTGCTTTCACTTCCTCTACAACCTGACAATGGACCTATCAAACCTTTATGCTTGTATGAATTTTGTGTATAACACAGGGGTCAGAAGGTGAACAGAGAGTAACACTTACCATGGCAGAGATGACAGAAGTATCAAATGGCTTTTTCACATACAGCAACAATTTGACCACCTCAATCACATCTGTGAGCCCACAAACTACAACAGTATTTGGTAAGATATTAACATTTATGTATTTTCAGATTATTTTACCTAATTCAGTGCAGATGTGTTTAAAAGTTCATGCATTCCCCTGGGAATTAAACCTATGACCTTAAAACATTAAAGAAGCTGGGATATTTTCTAACTGTAATACTTTGCAAATATTAGACCCAGACAGTCACATTGGCAAGTACCATGAATTGCTTTAGATAGATGTTCAAATATATTTTTTCCATACCTATTCATTTTGTCAAAATTGGTGCCCCTGTAGTTGTTTGCAAACAGTCAACAGCTGATTGTATTCTGATCTGAGATTAAGCTTTAAGATGATACTCCGTCTTTTGAACATATTCTATTTTTAGAATAAATCTTACCTTTATTCACAAGAATGCAGAGTAGTAAATAAGGATCACTGAGCTTTCAGATCAATTCATATAAAGATTTAATTCCTTCAACATACATAGTGCTTCATATGCCATTATAAGTGTATGTGCAAGTCTAAAATTAACTTTAATTGGAAACCTACCAATACAAAATTTTCTGGGCATAAAGCTTCTATGAAACGTTCTATGAAACTTTGAAAAAAATGAACAGAATAAAATAAAATAACTAAATACATACATACATAAATAAATAAGTAATTCTTACAGTTTCTCACGCGCACACACACACACACACACACACACACACACACACACACACACATATACACAGCATATACACCTTATGCCCTAAATTATATTAATAACACCTTTAATCATTCTAGATAAAGTCCTAATAGTAAATTTTCCATTGAGGAGGAAGTTGAACGAAGACACTCGATTCACAACATGTTTTCTTTAGCAACCGTCTGTATATCTTTGATTTGAATCTGGCACATCTCTTAGATCAGAGAGGGTCAGACTGTGTAAACCATGGTCCTTATGCTCCTTTTTTAATAAAGTTACCAGCCAAGCTTTATTGACTTACTTAAAACCATTTTTACTCACATTTGGCACTTTGCGAGTGTCCATGTAGGGAAAATTGTGTCCTTCTTTTGTTTGTTCGTTTTAAAACACCTGCCTTTGGTCACTTTTACCCTTTGAACTGCTGATAGCAACAGAAAGCTACAGTTTCAAGATGTACGTGACATGACAAGTAGAAACTGTCCATACAATTAACCCTAAAAATTATTTTTAAATAAATACTGGTTAGCTTCTGTTCTTTGATACAATATAATGAAGATGAAAGTAATGGGATCCAAACAAACAGGTAAAATCACATTGAAGTGTCAAGTGTCTCTTTCAATCCAATTGTTCTGATCTGCATTTACATCTTGGTTACGGCTGTAAACCCCCATATGTCCTCCAGACAAAACTCTTCTAAAAGTTTTTCCAGCTCTTTTGTGTAAGCTATAATTCCACTGGCTTTAACTGTTGTCACGCAATCAGAAAAGTCGGTTTGGCTGCAGTGAAGAACAATCAACAGCGTAATGGTTCTTAAAAGCTGCTCTAAACACTCACGGACAATGAACAATGACAGCAATTTCACATCTAACTTCCTCATTGCCCCCACCCCTCACAGTCTTACTGGAACAGCAATTAATTTAACCTTGTTTTTATTACATTTTTTTTGTTATAAAGGACACAGGATTCTCACCATCTTGGGCACAAATTTTGAGGTGCAGTCTAATGGCAGCTCTGTTTTGATTGGTGAGGCTGAGTGTGAATTGCTGCAGTGGACTAATGAAAACATCACCTGCCTGTTACCCACACTCCCCCCAGCTGAGTACAATGTCCACGTGAGAGTCAGAAACCAGGGTTACCCCTTAACCAGGTCTCATGTCACTTACTGTACCTTATAACAGCAGGTTTCAAACTAGCATATTCAAAATATCATGCTACAACTGTAGAAGACTACAATTTAATATTAGAATTGTAAAAGGAATTGCACGTTTACAATGGCATTTTTAATCAGAAGTTAAGCTTTTTAGAGTGATTAAATATTTGTTTTCTTTGTGTGCAGTGCTGGCGTTAAAACCACTATAGAGTATGTTCTAGAGGTGACTGGTGTCTCTCCATCTCTGGGGTCTTTGTATGGAGGAACCACCATCACTATCTCCGGGTCTGGGTTCAGCCCTGTCGCAGCAGATAACAATGTCACTCTGGGTAAGACAAGACTACAGAAAAAAATGCAACAACATTCCTTAAAATATTCCCCATGCTTACTGTGAAATGTTTTGAATTCAACATTTTTCACAGCTCTTTACCAAAACCAATCATTTCCAGCTCATTTACTGCAGTCATGGTAATGACTCTGTGTGTTTCATACAGGAGACAGACAATGCCGAGTGACAGCCACTTCAGATCATCACCTGGAGTGTGTGACCCAGTCTAGAGATAAAACGTACACTGTGACTAACCAAGGTTTCCACCCCGGTAATATCTCTTCACTTTTATCTCTTTTTCTGTCATGCACACAACACCTGAATACATCAGAGAAAGGGGAACAATAGCTGTCAGCACAATGACTGTCTCATCAGGTCAATGACTTATCAAATACTAGAGCTGCCAGCAAAATAGCAGGATTCTCCACAGCACTGTTTTTTTGGCTTTTTAAGACCTATAAAAATCTTGTTGACATTACTAAAGAAGGACATACAAATAGCACTATAAGCTATATTTAGTCCCGCACAGACAGTTCAGTGAAATCCTAAATTAGCAGATTTGCAAAGAAATCTGAATGACTGCTATTGGAATTCTGTGCTGCCCCATGAATGTTAGCTTTTTAAATAGTTGTGCTAATATGATGATTACCAATTAGAATTTCAGATGCGTTTAATATTCAGTTTAAATTTCCTGCATAAGTCATTAAAATGCAAGGGAAAAAATAAAAATGGAGGAAATTAATAAAATTTAAAACATAATGAAAAATGCTGGAAATGAATAAGGTCTTGAAAGGTTATGGAAAAGTAATTTCAATAAAAATGTAAAAAGTCATAGAAAAGTCATAGAAATAGATACACTTTAAACTTAATGAAAATGTTATGGCAATAAAATCTTTAATGAAGAAGTGATTTTAATAAAATCTTAAAATGTAATTAAAAAAGGGATGACAAATAGCATCTTAAAGTAATAGAAATGTCATGGAAATAAATAAAATATTAAAAGGTTAAGAGAAGTAAAAGTAATGGAAATAAATGAAATCTAAATAAAGTAAATGTAAAGTGTCATGTAAAAAGTCACGGAAAGTTGTACAATCCAAATACATGTTCTAAATATGCTTTGTTGTGAAGTATTTCTTTACACACATTTTTAATTTTAAGATGCAATCTATAAAATGATTTATCTAGTCTGATAAAGTTACAGAAATTAAATGGTGGGATCCGTAGGTATTGTATTTTGTCACAAAATGTGCATTTGTGACTACATGTTGCATTGCACTTGCATACAGTTAATTACATCATATGTGTTCAGTGTACGGTCAGGGTTACGCCTGGAGCCCCTCTGCATTAATAGCCTCAGTGGGGGATACAGTGGTTTGGCTCTGGGACGCACCAGCTTTTGTGTCCGGTCTGGGCTACAGGGTCTTCAGTGTGTCCAGTCCAAGCAGCACAGACTATGATGGCATTGCTTTCAGCAGTGGAGACACCCAAACTGCCAAAGGTACAAACAACAACTACTACTATTACTATCCGACAACCTGTGCGTTAACACTGCTCATTCTAATTTACATTAAGCAGACAAACAAAATTACACAACTATTTGTGAAAACATTTGCCTGAATGCTATTTTGAAAACCACTCCTTCCCTTATGTTGTACATTTTCTAGTTCTTATTAAGAGACCCTATGTAACTAAATGAATCAAAACCACAATTCATTAATATTAATATCTACATAATGAGATGGTTTTCATAAATATGTAAGGTAATTAATAAATATAAATGACTGTATTAAATATAAATACTATAAAAAGTGAATTGTGACATTTCCAAATACACATTACTTGCCTATAAAAATATATTGTAGAATAATGCAAACAAACTATGGTCCAGATTAATGATTCGATTCACCAAGTACTGTTATTGTTATTTTTTATTTGTCTAAGATATTTTTCCTGGACACAAATTAGTTGCCTGAAAGCACTATTCTGTTCTCTGTATGATAAAAGTATCTATATGTGAATATAGATAAATATCTATATTTATATTATATGTGAATATATATACTGTATATGTGAATATAGATAAATTCAATTCACACATGTGAATTGAATTTAATAAACATTTTGCAGTTCTACACTGGAAAACTGAGCAGTCTGGGAGATACAATTTTGAACATATAATTTCTCAAGGTGTTTCTTACTTTTACTTTTTAATGGCTGCCAGCTTTAAAGTTGTGAAATACACATTATTTTATTTTAATGTCACATACAATATATTGTCTAGGAAACAGTGTTTGGCTTTTGTTTGTCCTGACCAGAAGGAAATTTAGAGACTGGACGTCTAGGAAATATAATAAAATACCACTAATGCAGACAATCATTTGGTTTGTGAGAGTGTCAGATTCCATGAAGCATGAACTCGAGGTGTCTATGCTCTACTTAACTATAATGCCAACATAATTACACACCAGCCCCTGTGTAGAAAACAGTGTACTGTACTGTTTTGCACTTTACTGTTAGACAACATTTAATTTGTTGAATGCCTTTTGCCGTAAATGTAATAGTTTGTATTCCTGTAAAGGAACTGAAGAAGACAGTGAGAGTTGGAGGTGTAATGCCAGTTTGTTTGAGGAACAAAATCTGACCCTACTGTTCTTTGTGCACGTGTTTGTGTTTTGCCATAAGGGTTTTTTGCCTATCGTTTCACATCTCCTGGAGTTTACTACTATAGCAGCGGTTACATCGACTCTGGCAACCAGAAGACACTTCAGGGAGTGGTGACTGTTATGCCACTGGAGGAGAGCACTGTTAGGCTTCAGGTGTTTGTGACAGGAATAGAGGCCACTATGAATATAGGTACAACGGAAACACTTTAATAAGTATTTTGTGTCAAAAATACTCAAAGTTACAAACTTCAGCTTAAGCTATGGCAAGGAATTTGTAGCTAAATCCATCATAATCATCTTTTGTGTCCTCCCTAGTTTCAGGAAAAATGAACTCATCCGACTCCACATGTGTGGCCACTTCTGCCTGTTTCCGAGATCAGCTGGAATTTAATGAGACGTCAGACAGTCTCTACTTCAGTTTTACTTCCTGTGCCAGTCCCACTGTGTACCACATTAAGCCTGACCATGGCACTACTCATGACATCATCAAAATCAATGGATCCGGCTTTAGCAGCATTAACTGTGCAAACGAGGTGAGCTTCAGTGGTCGGCCATGACATTAAAGGTGCTGTAAGGGATTTTTGGGAATACCACGCATAAACTATTCCAGATTCCTTACAGACAAATTTTTACTAAGATGACACTTTTTGCAGTGGTTGAAGTTAGAAATACTGTATGCCTGAAATCACTTACTGAACTTTTAAAATAGACCACAATACAGGAGACTTAATAGTTTTAAACAAGATCCATTTAGTCTCCGATATTAATGTAAAACTATATATATACTGTAATAAGTAAAGGGTCTATGATTAAAACATTTTAACTTTTTTTTTTTGGTAACCAAAGGTCAAAGTTGGAGATCATCCATGTAACGTCATCAGCAGCACCTCCACTGAGATCAACTGCCAGCTCAGTCCTGACAGCGGAGCACCAGTGGGCATCCCCTTACCTGTAACTGTCCTTGTCAACAACCTTGGCACTGCCATCCTGGCCATGCCGAAAGAGTACGACCGCAGATTTGTGCTTCTACCAGTGATCGATTTAATCTTTCCCTTGGTGGGCAGCACTACAGGCCACACGCGTCTCTTCATCTCTGGTTCTGGTTTCTCAAACGGTTTGATTACAGTAGCAGGTGTTCCATGCAACATGGTTTTCATGGACTACTCCCACGTAGTGTGTGATACCTCGCCGTCTGAAGCTCGCAGGGGAGACGTTGTAGTTTACGTCAATTCCATCTCTTCCTCGTGCAGTTTTGATTGTAAGTTTGAATATTCCGACTCTGTCTCACCATATGTCTCTATGGTGCTCCCTAACTCAGTCAGTGGAAACGCCACCAATGTTGTAATCACCGGCAGTGGATTTGGGAACGATTCTGATGATCTAGTGGTATCTGCAGCCAACATCCTTCTGGAAGTCATAGAAGTCACCGATAGCAGTATCAAGGCTTTAGTTGGCGCCCTTCCCGCTGGTACACACGTCCTACAGGTGGTGGTGATGAGCAAAGGTCTCGCCACAGGAGATGCCACCCTGACCAGCATAGCACAAGCCAGCATCAACCCAACATCAGGCAGTATTGCTGGAGGAACACCGCTCTTGATCACAGGAAATGGCTTTGTGGCGGGAAATACAACGGTGAGGCTCGCTAACTCCCCCTGCAGGATTTTAGATGTCACTCCAGATACGGTGAAGTGCATGACACCTCCTCATGCAGAGGGACAGGTGCAGGTGAACATTAAGGTGTTTGGTGTTGTGTATCCACTTCAACATTTCAACTACTCCAGGGAGCAAACTCCAGACATCACTTCCATCAGTCCTAGAACAGGTATGAACATGCATTTACTATAGAAAGCTGCAGTGATGACATATCTTTGTAGGCCAAACCTGGAAATTAGCATCACCCTGGTTCCCTCGACTCGACCTCGATTTTTCCATTGGCTTTTGGATTATTGCAGAAAATCAGCTCTGGGACCAACAAAAGTTTATGATTCGTATATGTTTTGTTCATCATGATACAAATGAATAAAACTTTTATGAATTTTAAGGACTAAACACGATTGCCAGAAGAAAAAACATAGGCTATAAACAAACCACAGTCACATGTTTTCAGTGTCACCATCTTTAAGCTTCCAACAACTCTTTATTTTACAAGTTTGAGTTAGAATAGTTTGCAAGAGCGTGATTATAAACACAATGAGGCTGTAAAAGCGAACTACTGAGTAGATGAGAAACCCACTGACTTCAGGACGATGGAACCGGAAGTGCTAAAATGCTAACTCATATTTGACAAAAATAAGCCATCCCTGCAGCACACTATTGAACTATTGAATATCACAACACATCGTAGTAATACTACAAACATAATCCTTTCCTTGCAGGTCCGCCTGGAACAGAGATCACCGTCTCTGGTTTTGGCTTTGACTCAGATGCAGTGATTGTCTCCTTAGAGATCGATGGCGTGCCTTGTAGCGTGTCATCCGTCACAGATACACAGCTGTTGTGCAATGTTGGGGAACATGCGGGAGGAACTTTTCCGGTTATGTTTCACCATCAGGTCAAAGGTCATGCCTTGACCCAGTCTGTCTTCACCTATGAGCTGCTGCTGACAGGGGTCACACCGAATGAGGGTAATCAAAAACACTTTCTCTAGGGTAAAAGATTTGTTAATACTGACAGACCATGAATGTAAAATGTTACCAGACAAGGCTAAATCCCTAGTTACATAAAAAACTGTTTATATACTAAGTTGCTATTTTTAGTAAATACAATTTAAATAAATCAAATACTTATTTTTTAATCTTTTTTTAAGGTGACTTGCAAAAACAGTCATAATTTAGCTTTACATGACAATTTGTGTCTTATCTGACCCTTATAATTAAACATGTTTATGCTACTGTACCTTTAAGATTTATTAAATATAAGTCTTAAAGGTATGGTAGAATAAACATAGCCTCTGTTAATGTATTCGTTGTGATGACACGCATCACAGATTTCTAATAGGGCATTTTGCTTCTTGATTCAAATAGAGTTTTGAGTTATATACACTACTGTTTAAAAGATTGGGGTTCAGCAAGATTTTTTTATGTTTTTTAAAAGTCTTTAATGTTGACAAAGGCTACATTTATTTGATAAAAAAATCTAGTAAAAACAGGAATATTTTGAAATATTATTATAATTTAAAATAACTGTCTTCTAGTTGAATATATGTTGAAATGTAATTTATTCCTGTGATGGCAAAGCTGAATTTTCAGCAATCATTACTCCAGTCTTCAGTGTCACATGATCCTTCAGAAATCATTCTAATAAGCTGATTTGGTGCTCAAGAATCATTTCTTATTATTATTAATTTTGAAAACAGATTTGCTGCTTAATATTTTTGTGGAAACTGTGATACATGATCCTTTGATGAATAGAAAGTTTTAAAAACAGCATTTATTTGAAATAGAAATACTAGTTGACATTACAAATGCCTTTCCTGTCACTTTTGATCAGTTTAATTTTTGAAAGGTAGTGTATAGTACAACTCCAGCTCAAATGAACAAGGAAAAACACTTAATATATTTTGCTCCACAATACTTGGCCACAAATTTATCTGTCACATGTATCTGCAAACATGGACAGGCTGTGTGACATACCATCATCATGGGGAAAGAAAACAGGAACTTTCAGATAAAGATGAATATGAACTGTATTTTGCACAGTAAATTATTGCCTGTCAAGAGCATCAATCCATTAAAATTCAGTTTTTAAAAAATCACAATTCTGCTGTTGTTTATGATCAGTCTTCCTGTTCAGCCAGCCATGTTAAGAATTTTGCATATTGTTATAACCATGAAGTTCATTCTAGTATTAATAAATATCTAAAGGTTGATTTTAGGAACATATTTGTTAACTTTTATGTCCAATGAAAAATCTGGTCATGAATCAAAATGAGATGAGAACCACTGTCACAAAATTCTATACTTTTATAATTCTATACAAGACACTACAGGATATCTTTGCTCTGTTTTGCTATAGGAAGTTATGCTGGAGGAGCCATTGTTGCCATTCAAGGTTCTGGATTCGACCCAAAAAGCACCAAAGTCCTCATCTGTAACAGAGAGTGTAATATGCACCTGCAGAACTCCACATCTATCCAGCTGAACTGTGAAGTCCCACCCAACAATGGCATGCATTATTTTAAAAGTATTTCGTATGTGTCTAGAAATGTTCAGTTAGCATAACATAATCTATCAAAGTAAGTATTTCTACGTCTGAGCAAAGCTCAGAGGTTTTTTTAGTTTTTCCTCAAAAGTAAAACATGCCAGGAATGCTTTAACTGACAGAAGTCAGTCACTGATAGACATTAACAAATGTGACAGCTCAGACCACCAGGTCACAGATGAATAGAACTTAAATAAAGACAGTCATCCTGCCGGACTGCATCTTAATGACCGCGTTTGTCTCTTACAGGAACTGAAGCAGAGCAGGCCTGCACAGTCATAGTGATGAATGGAGGCGATGCGGTCAATCTCACCAACAGCTACACTTACAGGTCTTCTCTGACCCCTGTTATCACCGATGTGACGCCACGCAGAGGGGGGACCGCTGGAGGCACCAGACTCACGATTACCGGCTCAGGTTTCAGGTGCAGAACACACCAGAATTACATTGTACTGAAACTGATTGTCCTTCAATCACGCTTCAATACACAGTGTTCTCTGTGGCATTACTGTTACTCAGTAAAACATTTCTATGCATTGCACAGTCAATACCTGCATTATTTTAGTATTATAGACTAAAATATTATTTATAGTATATATTATTTATAGTATGCACTATTATAGTTTATAATATATTTAAAAAACATTTTTTAAGTATTTTCTCATTTAAATTTTTTTTATTTTTTTTATTTTTACGTGCTTTTGTCATTTTATTTATTTATATTGGTATTTAGGTTTATCTTTATTTCATTTTTAGTTTTTATTTATTTTTATTTCATTTTGGTTTTTCAACTTTAATTTTCATTTAGTTTGAGTAATATAATAAGTCTGTGTCATTTTATTTTAGCTTTAATTCAATTAACAAAAAATGTTTTTAATAGTTTTAGTTTTAGTTAACGATAATAACCCTGGTCAATACAATTACAATTTTTATTTATGTGTTAAAACAATAATTAAACCACAAAATTCTGTCATAATTTATTCACTCTCATGTAATTTCCAACCTCTAATACCAAAAGCGACGTTAAGCTCAGAGCAACTTAACATTCCTAAACATTGAAAGTGAATGTTGACAAAGTGCGCTCTAGCTCTAAAAGAACACAAAAATACTGTCAGTATTATGTCCTAAGAGTTATAAGCCTCATTCGGATGAAGAAATTATGACAGAATTTCTCAGTTTCTCTGACTTTTCTTTTCCCTGTCTCACCTGTAGCTCAAATGTCAATGAAGTCTCTGTCACAATTGCGGGATCTGTCTGCAATGTCCAGTCAGCCAGTGAGTCGCAAATCATCTGTGTGACCAATGCTCAGCCCAGATCCCAAGAAACTCAAGTGCGCGTCCAGCTGGGGAACAGAGGAATTGCCCGAATGGTAAACGTGACACAAATACAGCTATTACAAGAATAATTATAATAACAATAAATAAAATTGATTTATCTGTTTGGAATGTCTCTCCTCTCTCTCAGGATAATAATTCCTTCTTCTACATTGACGTGTGGTCATCTCCTTATACATGGGGTGGTCTCTCCCCTCCTGAGGAGGGCATGTTTGCTGTAATCACTGCGGGCCAGACCATCCTCCTGGACATCAGCACACCAGTTCTTAAGATGCTCCTTATCCAAGGTATGCTCATTTAGGCAAATACTATCTTTATAAACAAAGCCTTGACACACTCACAGTTCTGTGAATGTCTGTTTTCTATTTAGGCGGGCGACTGATTTTTGACGAGGCAGACATTGAGCTGCAGGCAGAGAATATTCTGATCACAGATGGTGGAGCTCTGCAGATCGGAACAGAGCAGGTGCCCTTCCAGCACAAGGCCATCATCACACTGCATGGACACCTGCGTTCTACAGAACTTCCTGTCTATGGCACCAAGACCCTGGCTGTCAGAGAGGGAGTGTTGGATCTGCATGGTATGTACTACAAATAAACGACACTTCAAATTAATTTTTTGTGAATTATTATATTATTTATCAAAATACATAAAATAAATAGATATTTTTATTTAATATACAGCACCGTTCAGCGTTTAAAGTAAATAATACTGTATTCAGCAAGAATGCATTATATTGATGAAAAGTGACAGTTTCTAAGACATTTATAATGTTACAAAAGAATTATATTTCAAATAAATGTTGTTCTTTTGAACTTTCTATTCATCAAAGAATCTTGAAAAAAAATTCTGTTTCCACAAAAAATATTTAGCATCACAAATTTCCAAATTTGATAATGATAAGAAATGTTTCTTGAGCAGCAAATCAACACATTAGTATGATTCTGCAGGATCATGTGACACGGAAGACTGGTGTAATGGCTGCTGAAAATTCAGCATTGCCATCAGAGGAATAAATTACATTTTAAAATATATTAAAATAGTTATTTTTAAACTGTAATAATATTTCACAGTTTTTTCTGTGTTTGTGTTCAATAAGAGCAATTGTGATGCTGAGCATAAGAGATTTCTTTCAAAAATCTTACAGACCCCAAATTTTGGAACTGTAGTGCAAATATTAAATAATTTGAAAAATGCATACTCAGAAATATTGAACACATGTACCTGATTATTATTACTTTTTTTGTCTTTAAATTGAATAAAGTGACAAATCTCAGAGCTACTGGAAAATTTGCATATAAAAGGTCACAAAGTCAGAAACACAATCTTCACAAAAATAGAGATGACCTACATTAAGCTCAGTTAAGTCAGAAAGGCTTCACAAAAATGCAAAATTTCCCTGATACAGACACCATAGTGCGTAATCACTCCCCTGCAGTGAGAGATTTCGTTCAGGGCTTAACTACAATCTTGCTTCTCCAGGAATCCCTGTCTCTATTCCATGGACTCGCCTTTCCCAGACTACACAAAGTGGCTCTAACACGCTGACACTCATGGATGCCGTCACCTGGAAGGCTGGCGACGAAATTGTCATCGCTTCCACAGGACACAGGTATAGATGTACCGCCCAAACCTACAGTGAAACTCTGTTTCAGGTTGATTTAACTGAAGCCACTGACTTACAGAAACTGAACTAAATCTGTAGAAACAAGGGCCAAGGAAATGAAAAACAGTGCAATTGTTCTCTATGAAGTGGTACCAAAAACAATTCATTTGATTTAAGAAAAACAAAACAAAACTATCATTTATAAACATTTTTAGAAGGAGAAAATAGAAAATTATAAACTTATTGTTTAACTCAGAATGTATACAAAGGCTGTCCAGAAAGTATCTAGCCATGTGATATGAAAAATACGAGATGAGAGATACAATGCAATGAAAACGGCAACAGCTATGGGTGATTGTCAGCTTCATAACGACAATGTGCTTGCCCTTGCATCACGCCTCGTGCAGATTTTTTTTGCGAAACATCAAATCACCTAGGTGACCCAGCCCCCCTACAGCCCAGATTTGGCACCGTGCAACTTCTGGCTTTCCCCAAAACTAAAATCACCTTTGAAAATGACTGAGGCATCATTGTCTGATGTACAATGTTTCTTGTATCTTGTATCTTCTTTGGTAAATGTCTCTATTTTTAATATCACATGAATAGTATAGAATAATAAATTCTATACCAATATGCTAATAATTATGCCAAAAAATTATATAAGATGTCAATACTGTTGCTAATAATGTAAAATATGTTGTTTTGATGGAATCCACAGACACAGCCAGAGAGAGAATGAGTTGAGGAGAATTGCCTCAGTTTCATCTGACAGAAGGACCCTCACTCTGACCGAACCGCTGAAATACACTCATCTGGGTGTGTCTGTCACACTGCCTGATGGGACAGTTTTTGAAGCGAGAGCAGAGGTGGGCCTTCTTACCAGAAACATTGTTGTCCGTGGATCCAACAATGTGGAGTGGAACGATCAGATTGAAGCTTGCCCTGATGGATTCAACACAGGTTTGGATGTTGCTTCCTCAGCTGTGGATGGAAAGACAGACAATCATGTCACACACACAATCATGTCAATTCCTTAACATTCATCAAAGTCATGTGAAAGTCATTGTAAATTTTATTGACTTTTATCAAACACATGGCTCAATATACTTTTTGGCTTACAGGGGAATTTGCTACCCAGACTTGTTTCCAGGGTAGGTTTGGAGAAGAAGTAGGAAGTGACCAGTTTGGTGGTTGCATCATGTTCCACGCACCACAACCAAACCAAAATCTGGCAATTGGCAGAATTGAATATGTTGAGGTAAATGTTAATTTTGTTTCAAAAACATATGTTTCAAAACTCTTGGAGCTTTTAAAGGCATAGTACACCCAAAATGTAAAATTCTGTCATCATTTACTAACCCTCATGTCCTTCCAAACCTGTTTGCATTTCTTTCTTCTGTGGAATGCAAAAGAAGATATTTTGAAGAATGTTGGTAACTGAACAGTTTCAGGTCTACAAGAGCCTACAAAGCATGTGAATGGCTCGTGTTGTCTCAAGTAGTCCCAAATTCAAGTCCCTCTGACTTCCATAGTATTTTTTTGTCCATACAATGGAAGTCAAAGGGACCCAAAACCATTTGGTTACCAACATTCTTCAAAATACTGTATCTTTTGTAAGATATTTTGGAAGTACCACATGTTTGTAATGACATGAGGGTGAGTAAATGATAATTTTGGGATGAACTATCCATTTAAGAAATCAAAAATGTATGATAAATGTCAATCATGGCATTATGTTTGTCATCGTCCTCCTTTAGCTCTTCAATGTCGGACAGGCCTTCCGCCTGGGACGCTACCCAATCCACTGGCATCTGATGGGTGATGTTAAGTTTATGTCATACGTGCGTGGATGTGGCATCCACCAGTCCTACAATCGTGCCATCACCATCCACAACACCCACAACCTGCTGGTGGAGCATAATGTCATCTACAATATCATGGGTGGGGCCTTCTTTATTGAGGACGGCATTGAGACCGGCAACATCCTGCAGTATAACCTGGCAGTATTTGTAAAACAGAGCACCAGTTTGCTAAATGACGATGTGACTCCAGCTGCATACTGGGTCACCAACCCTAATAACACTATTAGACACAATGCCGCAGCTGGTGGAACGCACTTTGGCTTCTGGTATCGCATGCATGATCATCCCGACAGTCCTTCGTATGACCCCAACATCTGTCAGAAGAGAGTACCACTGGGACAGTTCTTCAACAATACGGTACATTCACAGGGCTGGTTTGGCTTGTGGATCTTCCAAGAGTTTTTCCCCATGCGCACTGGCAGCTGCAGCTCTTCAACACCAGCGCCAGCAGTTTTCCGCCGTTTCACTTCCTGGAACAACGAGAAAGGTGCAGAGTGGGTGAATGTAGGAGCGGTTC